CCAAGCCAAACCTGCGAGCGAAGCTTGGCAAGAAGCAATGCTGCGCCCGCAGATTCCAGGGCGCGCACTTCCAGCTGCGCTCGCTTGCAGCTCCGCTCGTTTCAGCTTCCCCGCGTCTCCCCCTGCCCCCTTCGCCGCGTGCCCCTCCCAAGCGGGAGTACGACATCGGCAGAGCTGTCAAGCAGAGGCGGCTGGACAGTCCGCCGGCGAGGGAGAAATCGGCCTCCCCGAAGGAGCACGACGGCCCTGTGGCAGCCGCGGCGCTGGCCGTCAGCCTTCGTCCACTCCACAGCCCCCCTGGCCTCTGCTTGACCTCGAGGGTTGACAGGAAACGCGCGCGGCCGGCGGGGCGCCCTGCCTCGCGCTGCACAAGTCGAGCCGAAACTGCGGGAGGCAGAGGGGAAGGCCAGGGGCACGCTCGAGCGAGGCGCCCCTTCTCGTGTTGCAGGGCGAGCCTGCGCTGCGGGATCAGGTGGGCCTAGGGCAAAGCCGACTCGCAGCGGAGGCATCTGCTGGCATGCCGGCCAGCAGCTGGGCCGCTGGGCATGACCTGGGTCAGAAGCCTCTGCAACAGCTCCTCCTCCTCCTCCTCCTCCTCCTCCTCCTCCACCACCACCATTTCATCATTCTCCTCCTCCTCGCCCTCCCCTCTCGCAGACCTCGCAGACCTCATCGGCATGTGGTCACTCTGCACAGAGCGGCCACCTGATGATGCCAGAGGGTGGGAAGGATGGAATCTGATGCGGCAGGGATCGACCTAAACGGCCTTTTTCCTTCCCGGTTTGTTTTCACTTTCCCTCGTTTCGTCTTCAGCCTGCCTTTGCCGCAAAACGACATCGAAGCGGAAACGGCCCACGAAATCGCCCAAACACCGTTTAGGTCGACCCCCGTGAAGCCAGGAGGGGGAAGGGGGGCGGGGAGGGAGCGGGGAGGGGAGGCGGGCCCCAGAGGCCCATAGGCCCCTTCCCCAAGAGACTGGCATTTCCTCCCGAGCCGTTGTTTGACGGCCCCCGCCCGGGCGGGGCAAATCCGCAGGCCGAACCCGGCCGAAAGCCTCCCGTCGCGATCTTTCTTCGCAGGAGAGGAGAAGGGGGGGAGGGGTGGGGGAAGGAAGGAGGAGAATGGGCGGAGCAGGGAGGCAGAGATGGCTCTCAGCAAAGATGTGTGGAGGGGGGGCGGACTAACCTCAGAGGGCCTTCAGTGCCAACCAGCCCCCCCTCTTCAGCTCTCGGCTGGCAATGGAACTCGTCCTTCCCCTCCTCGTCCTTCCCCTCTTTGTCCTCCCTCTCGTCCTCCCCTTCGTTGTTAGGAGCCGAGCGGGCCGGGGTCCCCATCGAACGCAGGGGCGGGCAACGCCTGCAAAGCGGGCCCCGATCCGAGCCTAGGCCTGGCGCTTTCCACGAGGCACAGGCCCGGCTGTTCTCGGGGGGCTATAGGGGGGACAAATTCGTGCAAGCTTCGCCGTTATGGTCTAGGGCAAGGAGGGACAGGGGGAACTCAAGACCCCTCGCCTCGCCTTAGCCCTGTGGACAAGGGGACACGGGGACCACCCCGTCTGGGGGCGGGTCGCCAGCAGGGATCTGGGGAGAGGTACTGCCTTTCAGGGTCGGCGGCGCTGGCCGCAAGGCCTTCACAATTCGCTGGCCCAGCGGGCCAAAGGCGTGCTCAGATCTCCGGTAGCAGGTTAACAATATTTCATGGCGGCCCCTGGGGACCCCTGGACGAAAAGCATCCCGGCCGATGCCCGGCCGACTGCGCTCCAGGAGCGCGCCAAGAGGGCGGCGGGACGCCCACTGCACGGCCCAAGAGGCCCCGAGAGGGCACCAAGACGGTCCAAGAGGCGCCTAAGACGGCCCAAGAGGGTCCCCAAACGGCTCCAAGAGGGTCTCAAGAAGGGGACCAGGAAACGAAAATTCCAGCCTTCAGCCCCAAGAGGCCCCCAGGAGGCCCTAAGAGGCCCCAGGGGGGCCCCAAGAGGCACCCCAAGAAGCCCCAATAGGCCCCCAAGAGGCCCCAAGAGGCCCCAAGAGGCCCCAACACGGCCCCCAAGAGGCCTCAAGTCTGCCTCCCAGAGGCCCCCGAGAGGCCAAAAACGAGAGCCCAACCAACATCCATGAGAACTCTGACCCACCACCCACCGCCGCCCAAAAAATGGCAGCCGCCCGACGGCACCGCCTTGACAACAACACCCCGACAAACGACAACGGCGATGCAATATGGGCCGGCGGAATGAGCGAAGAGATTCAATAATTCGTGCAAGCTTCGCTGGTTTGGGATAGGGGAAAGACAGATGGATACTCTGAAGCTGGGACGTCCAGAGATGCCGGCCGCGGCATGCGGACACGGCGGGCTCAGCGAACTGAACAACACGCTTGGCACTGTGATTCCGCCCGCGGCATCCAGACGCGGCGTGGAGGAAGGCATGAACACTGAGACCGAGGGGGGAGGAGGAGGAGAAGGCAAGCGTACCACGACGACGACGACGACGACGACGACGACGACGACGACGACGACGACGACCCCTTCCCGCGGCGCGCCTCGGCGGAGGAGGATGAGGAGGGGTGTGGTGGAGGAGGAGGAGGAGGAGGAGGAGGAGGAGGAGGAGGAGGAGGAGGAGGAGGAAGAGGAGGGTGGGGGTGTGATCCGCTGGGCCCTCTGAGGGCTTCCTTGGGTCCTGAGGAGGATGAGGTTCCGCAGGAGGAGGAGGAGGAGGAGGAGGAGGAGGAGGAGGAGGAGGAGGAAGAGGAGGAGGAGGAGTGAGACCGAGACCGAGGGGGGCCGTCGTCAAGCAGTTGTATACGCATGAAGCTGTGCTCAACAATCGCAGTGCACGCAAGGCGACAGAGGCCGACGGCGCGGTGAACACATTCCATCATGAGATGGGGGAAGGTCTACGTGGGCCAAGTGCAGAGCGACGGGGAAGTCGCGCGGAACCAAGGAGAACAACCCACGACCTCGATCGTCGGCCAGAGGAGCTGAGAGGGGGAAGGTGTGAGGCGAGAGGGGGGACAAGCTCGGAGCGCTGGCGCCACTGCCTCACAGCCTGCCCCCTCCCACCAGTCCCTTCCCACCGCGCTGGGTCCATTTCTGCCTGCAGGCTGGGACGTCCTGGAGGATCTGGATCCCCCGCATACCACCAGCCCTCTGGGCTCATGTGGTCTAGCGCGCTTCCTCTCCCAACCCGCTTCTTCCCCTTCGGGGAGGGTGTTGACCCTCCCCCTCCCCCCTCCCCCTAGGTCTGGACGGGGGTGGGCATGAGCGGTCAGAGCGTCCAAGATAGTCCAACCTTGCTCCAAGATAGCTTCCGACAGCGCAAGATGGCTTCCAAGATGGTGCAATATGGTCCAGGATTGCTCAAGATGTCCTCCAAAACGCCTCTGACAGGCCCCAATCTCGCCCAAAGACAGTTCCATGTCCCCACAGAGCCTCCCAATCAAGGCTCAAGCTAAACAATGTTTTTCATCGGAAGTGAAAGGGTCAGATCGCAATGAAACGGAGTGCCCCCGATCCTGAACTCAGTTTCGGTTTCGTGCTCGTGTCATGCGTGCGGCCGAGGCGAAGCTGCGTGGGCGGGCGAAAAGAATGAACCCTCACTTGCCAGGGCGCCGCCCGGGAAAAAGACTGCGCCCCCTGCCTTGTCCGGAAGTGGCCGAGGGTGTCCCGCCGTGGTGTCCCGATGGTGTCCCGTGGCGTCCCGTGGTGTCCCACGGTGGCCCGTGGTGTCCCGTGATGCGGTGCCCCGTGGTGTCCTGTGGTGTCACGTGAGGCCAATCGTGAAATCGACTGTGAGATCGATTGTGAAATCGATTGGGAGATCGGTAGTGGTATCGATACTGAGATCAATACTGGGATCACTAGTGATATCGAATGAGAGGTCGACTGTGAGATGGATTTTAAGACCGACAGTGGGACCGAGAGCGAGGCCGATACTGAGATCGATAGTGAGATCGAACATAATATCGATAGTGAGATCTATAGTGGGATCGATATTGATCGATGGTGAGATCACTTGTGAGATCGATAGTGGGATCGATAGTGAACGATAGTGATATCGATCATGAGATCGATCGTGGGATCGATAGTGAGATCGATCGTGAGATCGATTGTGAGATCGATCGGAAGATCGATTGTGAGATCGCCAATAGTGAGATAGATAGTGGGATCGACGGTGAGATCGATAGTGGAATCGATTGTGGTGTCGATCGAGTGATCTCGATAGTGAGATCAGTCGTGAGATCGATTGAATGAGACGTTGGTTCCTCCCCCTCCCCGAACCTGCTTCACATCTGGCCATGAAATCGCTAACATACCGTTTAGCTCGCGCCCTGTCCCCCAATACCGCTCCCGAGAGGCCCACATTCTTTGAACACCAAAGGAAGCAACTGATTTGGGCCTTCCTGCCGTTTCGCTTCCAATGGGCGTCTGGGGCCTCCGGATGACTCCTTCAAGATGGCCCAAGAGAGCCCCACGAGGGGCACAGGACGGCTCCAGAGTGGGGGCCCCGAGAGCGCCCCAATAGCGCCCCAAGAGATCTCCAAGGGCCAAGAGGTTCATGTCGAAACGTCCGAGAAGGCATTGATGGTTGACTCCTGGGTCTGCTCAGGCTGATCCCGAGTTTCGGTCTGAAGGCTGTCCCTCCCCCAAAGTTCCACTGCATGCTCGAGGGGAGCAAAGAGCCGATCCTGAAGTGTGGCCAACGCTGCAGGGGGAGCACCAGTCTGTGAAACAGCAGTACGCCAGACAAGCGGCGCCACGGCTTGACATGATCAGGCGAGAGAGTCGGAGTGACATCAATATCGAATGATCGTTGATATCATGCGGGAGGAGGAATGAGGAAGGGGGACGGAGGAGGAGGAGGAGGAGGAGGAGGAGGAGGAGGAGGAGGAGGACAATGAGGGAAGATACGAATAGGGAACGGGCCGGGGGGATAAAGATAGGAACTGGGAGCTCGGATACATATGATGGGAGGACGGGAGGTGAGACTTGCTGCAACACTTTTCATTCGGAACTCACACATACTGCCGCTACCCTCGTGTGGCCTCGCCATCTCGTGCCCGATTCTAAGGAGTCCTTCGAAGTCTTGCACTTGAACACCATGCAGATGTCGTGGGCTCTTCTAGGCCTCACGCGCGCTCCGCGAACGCCCAATCTGCGCTCGCCTCTTCATGGCTGTCCCGCTTTTCCGTCCCACCCACGCCGGGGCAAGAACAGAGCAATTGCAACCGCACGGACCTGCGAGCATCACTGCTCATACTTGTCCTACGGGCGGGAACTTGTGCCTCGCGTGTCGCGACGGGGGCCCCAGCGACACGCTGCGCCCTGCAAGCGGATAGCGTGGCGGGGGGCAGGACATGGCTCGGGACGCGGACGCTCGGAAATGGGGACGTGGTGCGCATGTCGAGCGGAAGCTTGGTGGGCCAGAATCGGCGGCGTGACACGCTGAGTCAAAACTCCTGACCGTATTGCTTATTCTGCCCTGCTCTGGTGTTATCTCGTGAACGGGAAGCCATGCCTGTGCCGCCAACTGCTCTCCGACGGGTCTCTCCGCCCCGCCCTTCGACCGTGCCCTTCGACCGTGCCCTCTGCCTGGCAGTGGGGCGCCCCGCCTCGGGCGAGCGTCTTCCGCCTCCTTGGGGGAGGTGGGCGGAGGGAGGCAGAAGGCGGCGGGGGCGGAGAAGGGAGGAGGACAACGACGGAAGGAGGGGAGGTGGGGAGAGGGGGGCAGCATGGAGCAAGGAGGGACGGGGGGAGGGAGACCGGGGTAGGATAGGGGGAAGCGGGGGGAGTGAGGGAAGGAGGAGGCGGGCGACGGCCGAGGGGGAGGAGGGGGGGAAGTGGGAGGACGCAGGCGGGAGGTAGGGCATGTTTGTGTTGTCTATTGGTTTGTTGTCTATTCAGTGTTGTTTAGTTGGTCACTTCTTATTCCGGAAGAAAGAACATATGGCTACACGCCCCCATTCAAGGGACATCTCTCCGTCTGAGTCCCACCAGCCCTTTCGGGCGTAGGTGGTCTAGGGCGTCTCCTCTTCCACCCCTCCCTCTTCCCCTTCGGGGAAGGGTTTTATCATTGTTCCTTATTAATATACACCCCCTCCCCCAGGCGACCGGGGGCCAACCAAGCACCATGCCGACACCATGCCCACCCACCCCCCACCATCCCTGTCAAACAACAATGCAAACCGCACTCTGCCTCCACATTTGGAGCATGCGCGGCCAACCCGATGCGGCCCCCCCACCATCCCTGTCAAAAATCAATGCAACATACACTTTGTTGCAAAGTCTTGCGTCATGCTCGTGAGGCCCGCGAGCACTTCGTGTTGTTTTTGACAGGGGCGGCGGGGGTGTCAGCATATTCCCTGCTGCGCGCAGGGCTACCATCCCTGACAACAAACAAGACAACATGCACCTCGCGGCTAGATCTGGATCGTGCGCGGCCATCCCGCGATCACTGTCAAGTGGTTTTTGACAGGGACGGCGGGGGTGGTGGCGCGTGGCCTGCTGTGCGCAGGGCCAGCAGACACAATGATGGGTATCGGTTTTCGACAAGGATGGCGGGGGCCGACATGTTTCCCGATGTGTGCTGTCACGTGCGCAGGCGCACCTGACGCACTCTGCACGTGCCCCGACCGCGGCGCACCTGGCGCGGCTTGACCGTGCGACACACCTGGCGCACTCGGAGCACGTGGCGCATCCGGCGCACCAGGCGTGCCCGGCACGCTCGGGCCCCAGGAGTGCCTGGCGCGCGTGGCGCCCCTGTCACGCGTGGCTCCACGAGCGCCTCGGAGAGACCAAGATGAGGTCCAAGATGGCCCAAGATACCCCAATATGCTTCAAAATGGCCCCCAAAATGCTCCAAGAGGCCCCAAGACCGCTCTAATACGGCTCCAAGTTGCCAAAGAGCTTCCCAAGGAGACCCCGAAGAGGCATACATCCTTCCCAAACCTAGAGAAAATCAATGTTGGTTGCTGTGTTGCCTTTTCGCTTCCGATGGGTTTCCGAAGCCCCAAGGTGGCTCCAAGCGGGCCCAAGAGGGCCCCAAGAGGGGCCCAAGAGAGCCCCAAGACGGCCCCAAGAACGCTCAAGAGCGTTCCAAGAGCGCCCCACGAGGGGCCCAATAGGCGACTTGTGGAGCTCCCGAAGGGGGGAGGGCTACTTGAGCACCCCCTCTGTTTTGATCGATGTCTTCCAAGATGGCCCCAAGAGTGCCCCAAGAGGGCCCCAACAGGCGCCCAGGCAGCCCCAAGAGACGCCAAAGAGGCCGCCAAGAGGATCCCAAGAGGCCCCCGAATAGGCTCAAGAAGGAGGATCTCCGAGGCAGCCAAGGCCCTCAAAGAAGCCCCTGGGCTCGCCAAGATGTTCCTTCTCCTCCTCCTCCTTCTCCTCCTCCCTGTCCACTGTCTGTTCCTCCTTCCTCATCATCGCCCTCCTCCTCCTCCTCCTCCTTTGTTTCCTCCTCCTCCTCTTCCTCCTCCTTCTCCTCCACCACCCTTTCCCTCTTGGGACATCGGACGGCGTTTCCCGCCCTTCGTTATTCTGCATGCTCCCCCGTGTCCCTGATCACCTCAACTCCCCCCTCTGGGCATAGTTTCTGGATGGGCTGGTGGGGACACGTTTTGGTCAACAGGCTCGCGAGGCGGATCGAAAGCCGTCCGAACACTTGTCGGGCTGCGACTAGGCAGCAGGAGAGCACGTGGGGACACGCGAAGCGTCAACAACTCTCGTCATTGCCGTCAGCTTGGGCAAAGACGAGAGGCTGCCTGTTCATCCTCTTCAAGGGGGGTCGCCTCCGAGACCTGGCGCAGAGCAGCTGCCTCTGGCCCAGGGGCCCGTACGGCAGAGTGAGGGAACGCCTGCACCTGTTCGGGAAGACGACTGCCCTTTACCGACAGCGCGACACTCAGACTCTCTGGGGCAATCCTGGGACACAGCACCAGGACCGACCCCCAGAGTCCCCTCAAAGATGAGGTTTTGCTCAACCAGGGCCCTCCAAGGCCCGTCCAGGGTGGACAAAAACGCAGACCGCTTGCGCGCCCCACTTCTTCAGAAACGAGCGAGCAGGGCTTAGGCACGTGCGTGGCTCGCCCGCCTGTGCTGCAGCGGCGGCAGTGGGGGGCATATCAAAAGGATAGAGCAGCCAGTATAACCTACAAGCTCAAAAACGATGCTGGCTCTCTTTCAGCACCTTGGGGTCAAGACGGGAAAGGGGGGGATGCGCGGGCAACTCACAGACACCTGGATGAGGGCGGCTCTCTCCCCTCCCCCCTCGCAAACAAGACGTGCATTGCCGAAGAGAAGAGGCCCAGACCCAACCATGACTGGGATTTGCGGCCTTCCTTCCACTGCTGCCTGGTTGCTAAACTCTACTCGCGTGAGGTCCAGCGGAGCCCACAGAAGGAGCACATTGGTGGCCGTATGGGCCACGGCCCGAAGAAATCTCCGCATGCCTGTCAACTCGCTCCTGAGACTCCTGGTCTGTACTGGGGTGGACCTGCGCTCCGAGCTCGGCTGCCTTGTCGGCGGAAAAACTGCCGACGCGCACGCTTCTCGAGGTCAGGCATCCCCTGACAGTATGGTTTTGTGGGACGCGACTTCGGCTGCACCTTCGATGCGCCCTGCGGTCCCTGCAACAAGCTTCCACAACGTGCCCAGAGTAGACCCTGTGACCGGACGCTCTTTCAGAAGAAGACCACCCACTGCAATCACAACGCTAGCACCGCTGGAGTACAACGCGGAGCCACCGTCTACGCTGACTCCTGCCGATGCACAACAGAACAACTTCCCTGTTTGAAAGGATTGCAGAAAATGGTCCCACGCGGGAACGCAAGCCAGCTCAACAATTTATAATATTGCGCGCTTTCCACGAGCTCCCGTCCAGTACGACCGAATTCCTCTACAACCGATTCCAAACCGCTGCCGTCGAGGAAGATGTTTCGCTGGAGAGACCCGCCATTCAGCCACCGCTGAGCCAAGGCCTCATGAACCTCCTTCCCCGAAAACCTCGCAGACCGCGCCGTCCACATTACGTTCAGTGAGCAGCCCACGACCCAAATCTCCATGGTGATGGGAAGGCTCCAGAAACAAGACCAGCAGCGACTCCCGAGCTTCCAAAGCAGCCTTGGTGATCTTGGGGGCTACGACGAAAGCTCTGGATTCCGCGGCCGCATCGCGCACCCGCGCCAAGTGGTGCAGCGCGTTAACCTTAGGCTGGTACAGCGGGCGCCACTGGGAGACCTGGTGGCCCACGCCGCGGCCGCCGCCGCCGCCCGAGCCCTCGGCTCCGCAGACTTGCGGGCCGTGGGATAGACTGACAGGGGCTGGACAGGGCCATGTAAATGCTGGCCTCCTCTGCTTCGCCCTTCCATCTCCCCCAGCTCGGGGGGCCTTCGCTCCTGGCTGAGCTCGCGGCCCAGAGTGCACCGACGACTCCGCCGTCGTAGAGAAAGGGGCATCGAGGCAACTAAATTCAGCTACGCCTGCAGAGCACACTCCGTCCACGAGCTTTCCAAAAGCCAGCCTTTTCACTTGGCGCAGGATGGCCTCGCGATGGAGGCGCTTGAGGAGCCCAGGCGATAGCGGAAGGAGTGCGCGTGCAACGCGCCAACCGCGGGCCATCACTGCAACTGGCACCATCGCCCGTGGGGCACCCGGGGCGCGCGCCCCCCCAAAAAAACAAAAACATAAGCGGCTGTAAACACAGACAGGTTACAACCTCTTTTCGAGGTTTCCTTCGCTCTGAACAACCAAAGAACAGGGAACCCCAAATTGCAAACGCAACCGGGCCCGGCCGCCGCTTATGTTTCCAGCTTCCCAGTATTCTCCACGGGCTGGTGGTGCTGGGTCGCCTGGGGTTGAGCGGTCGTCTCCAGGGCCTGCTCGAAGCTGTTGACCTGCTGCTTTGACGTGCAGCGGAACTCCTCTGTTGCTAGTCCAGCATGGGGCATCTCGGAAAAATCCGAGATCTGCAAAAAAGATTCATTATTCGGCTGGGTGGAATGCTGGAGAGCCGTGCGCAAGGCGACCGCAAGCTCGGACTCGAACTGCTGCAGCTCGATGGCGGCCTCCTTCTTCTCCGCCTCGGGCTGGGTGACCTTACCTGCCAGCTCCGATATGTTTGCCACACGTAGGGACGTCCCTTACCCACAGCCATGGTTTGGAGCCTCGCCAGCAGCACGCAACGCAGAGGAGCAACGATGTGGCGGACGCTGAACGCCGCCTGAACCAGGTTGGGCGCCCGAGCCACGTGCAGCGAGGGCAGTTGAAAAGATACCGAACAGCCAAGCTGCTCTGCCTGCCGCGGATCAGCGGCATCCACGGTTCACCTGAGAACCTTGCATCTTGAACCAACATGGTTATGGGTCTTCCTGCTCCAGGTGGTGCATGATGCACGTGGCACACAAGAGGACGAGGCTTGACTAGCAACGACTGAGCTTGACTGGCCAAGAGAGGGTCTCCCGGCCCAACTGGCCGCCGCCGACGCTCGATGATCACCCCGCCGCCGCCGATTTTCGGGGCCCCGGGCGCCGAAGTTGAGCGGAGGGCGAAGCGATGCGGGGGCCCTCCCCAGGAGAGGGCCAACAGCGCCCCCAACCCCCTGCGCCGTTTCGGGCCCCCGCAGCGGCCCTCTGGGCCTCGTGGGGCGGGTGCTCCAGATGCCGGGGGGGCACCCTGGGAGAATCCTGGGGGCACCTTGGACCATGGACACCTTTGGCAACACTTGGTCCCAGCCTCCCCACAGAAGATTCGATCGGAGACATTTCCATCAGCTGTCCGCATCGCACCAGCCTCAAGCCGCTCGAAGTCATCAGTACTACGTTCGCTCAGGGCAAGGACGAACAAGCCTGCGCGTGTGCGTTTCAATGCCGACTTCGTACTCGTCCAATGGTACAGCCAGTGATGAACACAAAACGCCACTGGCACGACCTTTGTTCGTTTTGATGCTTGAAACGCGGTAGAACTAACACCTCCTCAGAATCAACGACCGCATCTTAACGAGTAGCGGACGGCATCAACAACCCAGATCCCTGCTCCCATCAACCACCCTCGCTATCCTCGGTGAAGTGCGCGCCGGTGGGCACGATGTCCTGGGTCGGCTTCCTGGGCAGACTCGAGCTGCTACTCGGCCGACCCGTCTCGCCAAGCCTGCGAGGGGGCTGGCGTGCGCACGGAAAACAGGGAGGGGCCGCGCGGACAGATGATCGAAACCAACCTCTCCACGCTTCTCTCCCCCCGTCCTCCGCCTCCGCCTCCTCCTTCTCTAGGGGCACCGTTAGGGGGGGACCTGCTCAGGGGGGAAACATCGACATGGAATCAGCGACACATCGCCGATAGATCAGCGGTAGGCCCCAGATAGCCAATTCGCACGTTTGTGGGCTGGGTGGGCTATCAGGCCACTATCGGCGATCAACGGGCGATTGGAGATCGATGCATCCCCCCCGGGCCTATCTCCATCCCCGATGGTTTTCGGATCATAACTCGGGCCTCTAGCGGCCGTCGTTCGGGACGATCTGGGTACCCCCAGACGCTCTCGGCGAGGAGCAGCTGTTGACGAGTATCCCGAAGCTGGAAAACGGCCGATACCCGACGAAAACGCCCAAAAACATCGAACCTCTAGCCTGCCCCGGCTCCTCCTCCCTCCTCCTCCCTTCTCCTCGTCCTCCTCCTCCTCCTCCTCCTCCTCCTCCTCCTCCTCCTCCTCCACAATTGCTCAATATGAATACTACTTTCCCTCTTCCCCTGATGACGGTTTGAAAGTGCTCGACCCCCCCCGCGTATTGTTTTTTACACACAAGTTTCCCCGGAATTGGGTTTTCGCCTGCATTTTTTTCCAAAAAGCTGCTCTCGCTGAGGCGCCGGCCTCATTTTCGTGCCCCGCTCGTTCCGAATCGTGCTCCCGCTGCAATGCTGGCATCGTTTTCGCCAGCGCCTGGGCTGCACGCCCGAGCTGGCGCCCGGGCCGGCGCTCGGGCCGGGTCCGGAGCCGGTTCCGGCCGCTGGAAAATCGAGTTCCGAGGCGGCGCCGAAAAAAGGCTATTCTAATACACATTTTTCTTGTAAAAATGCTGAATTTCTGCTTCTGGCGCCCGGGCATTCCAACGCCCAGGCCGGCGCCCGAGTCGGCGCCCGGGCCGGACGCCCGAGCCGGCGCCCGGGCCGGCGCCCGGGCTGGGTCTGGAGCCGGTTCCGGCCGCCGGAAAATCGAGTTCCGAGGCGACGCCGAAAAAAAACCATTCCAATACACATTTTTCTGTTGAAAATGCTGAGTTTCTGCTTCTGGCGCCCGGGAAGCCTCCCGGGCCGATTCCGGCGTGCTTCCGCTCGTTCCGAATCGTGCTCCCACTGCAGCGCTGGCCTCATTTCCGCGCTTCCGCTCGTTTCGACTCGTGCTCCCGTTGCAGCGCTGGCGTCATTTCCCGTGCCATGCCACGGCATGCAATGCAATGCTAGGTTGATGCTACGCTTCGCGGTGCTCTTCTACGCCATGCCATGCCGTGCTCTACAATGCATCGCGTACCCTTTCGGGATCATTGCCCTGCTCGACATCCGACTGTGCGAGTAGAGAGGGGATCTGCGCCATGGTAAGGGATGGGAGGGAGGGGTAGGATGTCAGATATGACGCGAGCGCACCTAGCTTGTCCTCTCCTCCTCCTCCTCATCCTCCTCCTCCTCCTTCTCCTCCTCCTCCTCCTCCTCCTCCCCCTCACGCCGATGGCATTGTGGGCCTCTCCAGGAGGCGCGGCCACCTGCCCCGCCTAAGGGTCGGCAGAATATGCCTGCATGCTACGGTCGGGAACTCTTGTTTCGCGTGTCGCGGCGGCGGCCCCCGGCGACATGCTGCGCCATGCGAGCGGATAGCAAGTCGCTCCGCTCCGCAGAGCGGGAGGCTGGGAAACGCTGCGCTGTTCTACCCGTGCGCCATCCGTACGCTAAGGAATCCGCGCAGTTCGATTGAAACGTCTGCACTGTACTTGCGATTGGGGCGTGGACTGTTCTTGCGATTGGGCCGTGGGCTGTTCTTGCGATTGGGCAATGGGTTGTTCTTGCGATTTGGCTCGCCCTTTCGTGTGCAATATTCTTTGCGCCGCAATGCCGTGGCAGACTGATTTGCACAATAGCCACATACCAAACAGACAGACAAACTGAACACAAATAAACGATTCCAACAAGGTCCCAAAGCCCCAGATCCCGGGAGTCCGTTTTTTTGAGGGGGGGGGGACGGGGTTTCCCCCCGCCCGGGCTTGTAAACAAATAGGAAGAGGAGTATATACATATATATATATATATATATATACACATGCATACATGCATACATGCATACATGCATACATGCATACATACACATACACATACATATACACATACATATACATATGTATATATACACGCTGGTTTCTCCATAGAGTGCCCCCACTGAGGTCTCGACCCCGTTCCCCGTGACCGGCAACGCCCCGAGCATTTTTTTGACAGTCCCCAGGCATGGTGGTGGCCCCAAAGGTCTCGCATTGCCCACATCCTCCCGCAGCATGTGTTGACGGAGCGAGGAGGTTTCCTCCCCTGAGGTGCAGCGATAGGGGGGGCCAGCTCAGGGGGGGAACATCGAGCTGAAATCGGCGACGCATGGCCAGTACATCGGCGATCGGACCCCCCAAAAAACTCCTACGTTCCTGGGCAGGGGTGGGGAATCGGGCACACGTCGGCGATGGATGGGCTATTGGGGTTCGATGCGTTCCCTCCCGAGCCTGCCCACGTCCCTGGTGGTTTTCGGGCCACAACTCGGGCCTCTGGCGGCCGTTCGGGACGATCCGGGCGCCCCTGGAACGCTCTCGGCAAGGCGCAAGCGCCGGAAAACGCACCCCGAGGCAAGACTACCTTGCAGAGCCGGCAAACACATCCGAAATCTTGTGCTTATGCAATTCTTCTTTCTTCCTTCTTCCGGCAGCCTGTGGGCGGAGCCCCTGGCCCATTCCATCGGGGTCCCCAGCAGCAGGGGGAGGCCATCGTCGTCGTCGTTCTTGGCCTCTTCGCGCTGGGCCGCGAGCAAGAGAGGAGGAGGATGAGGAGGATGATGATGAGGGGGAAAAGGAGGAGGAGGAGGAGGAGGAGGAGGGAGTGGGAGTAGAACAAGGAAGAGGCATGAGAGGAGGAGGAAGGAAGAGGGGGAGAAAGAGGAGGAGGAGGTAGACGATGAAAACAATTAGAGGAGGAGGAGGAGGAGGAGAAGGAGGAGGAGAGCAATGAGAGGAGGAGGAGGAGGAGAAGGAGGGAAACGGGGAAAAGGAGGGGGAAGAGGAGGAGATGGAGGATGAGGAGGTAGACAATGAGAGGAGGAGGAGGGGGATCATGATGATGATGGTGATGATGATGGTGACGAGGATGATGATGATGATGATGCTGATGATGATGATGATAATAATGATGATGATGATGATGATGATGATGATGACGAGGATAATGGTGGTGGTGATGATGAGATGTGTATGGTGATGTTGATGATGTTGCTGATGTTGATGCTGCTGCTGGTGCTTAGTATGATGATGATACTGCTGCTGATGATGATGAAGAGGAGGGGAAGGAGGATGAGGAAGTGGAGGAGGAGGACAAGGAGGATGCGGAGAAAGTGGACGACGACAATTAGGAGGCGGCGGCGGCGGCGCTCCTGGGAGTCCAACGTCAGCTCGGCGGAATGTGGCGGGGCAGCCCCCTCACATCTGTAAGCCCGGCGCCACTCTGCACGTGGGGCACGAAAGGCGTTGCCCGAGAACGGGCGCGGCCCGTGTGCGGCCCGTGCCAAAAAAGGTACCTACGCTGGGGTCCAACAGCAAGCAGCAACGAGGGAGACCAGGAGCGAGCGGGCGGCGTACCAAGCCGAGGGCGTCCACAAGTGAACGCCCGCGCGCAGGCCATTCACACAGCCGCCAGCAGGGGGCGGCCCCCGAGGGGGGGAGGAGAGGCCGAAGGTCTCGCACTCGTTGCAACCAAGTGGTGAAGCACAACGCCAGAACATGAAGCAGCTGCCTTCGTTAAAAAGTTTCTCACGCGGTGCCGAACGGTACCCGGTTGTTCAATGTCCAGAACAATTGGGCCTTAGAGCGACGCTGGTCCTAGCCCCTCTTGCGCACAGGCACCCTGCTAAACCAGAGGTGGAGAGGCGTGTGCAGCAGCACGGCAGACCACGACGAGGCCTCAAGGATCTTCTTGCCCTCAAGCTCCAAGTGGCCAGGCGGGCGAGGGCCCGACCAGGCCTACTTCTTCACCGCCGCCTCGATCACCGCCATGAGGATGCGCTCCCACGTCTCACCCTTCATCGCGATGATGAGCCTGTTTTTGCTGTCGAACCTCCTCTCCGTCCTGAACAGGCCAACCGTGTGCTGAGACTCACGACCGACGACCTGGCTTGAACGTCTCCAGGCACTTCTGCATGTCGGCCCTGTGCGCCTCGTGCGCCGTCTCGACGAGAGTCTCGAGTGAGGCGCGCCGCTGTGCGCGGGGACGTGCCGGGCGTTCCTTTTCCCACCCTCGGGGGGTACTCTTCATTGTGGGCCGTAGACATCGCCGCAGCGTGCCCTCTGCGCTGATCTCACGCTGGGACGCGCGCGATGCCTCGAGGAGCCTGATCCTCCGACGGGCGGTCGTGCCCAGCTTTAGAGACACATTGACCTTCGCCTTGTCCTCAGTGCTCTCTGCCTTCGCGAACTTGATGCCTCTGCCTTGCAGGGCCGCCGCATCACTGCCAGGCCCCGCCGACGCAAACTGCTCAGACCACGCGCCCGACATGGCACGCGAGCGCTCTCCGACAGGATGGGCGCCACAAACGGACCTGCGGTGTCGGATACTCGTCGCCGCTGAGCCACGATAGCAGCCATTGCATGCTAATGCGTCGAATTATCACGCGAACTTGCTTTTATCCAGGAAGATGGGTGACCAGGTGCGCCCTGGCCTCAGAGCACGTATCATACTCAATAAAACACAACTCACAATTGTGCGGGGGGCAGGCGGCATGCGCATGCAGTGCAAACGAGCCACGGGATTTTGGACCCCCCCGAAAGATACGTGCCTCGAGATAGACAGCGGCATATCGACGGGTCGTGTAGATGTTGTCGCACTGAATGCATATATGTGAGATGGTGAGGATCTTGGCGAGGGATATGTTCCATGGCCTTCAGCTTTGGAGTTGGCCATGTGCAGCAGTAGCTGTCGTCTCGAATCGAAACCCATCCGGCATCCAGCGACGCCGCGCGCGCGGCGCTGGCGCGGGAACTTCGGGGGCCAAGTCGAGACCGAGGGGGAACGGAACCTGCTCCTCACCTCCTCCTCCGACTCCTTCTCCTCCGTCACCCTGTCCAGGTCCACCCATGTCCTGCTCCTCCACTGTGCCCGCCTCGTATATCTCCTCAATCGTCCTCGGCCATCCTTCGACGCGCTTGATTTGCGAAGCCTTCGCGTTCAAGGGCGCGCCCCCCATCTCTGCGTTGCATGCGAGCTCCACAGGCCTTCGGAGCAGTGCAGGTCGCACCTCTGGCACGCCCAGCCCCGCAGCGCACGCTGAAAGATCAGCCAAGAACTGGGCCCACCACAGGCGGGCTGAACACGCGCCATGCGCGGCGCGAGCGCACCCTTGGACGTCGCATTAGTTGTGCTTGTCCCGCGCCGCACATCCAAACAGCACAGCCAAAACGAGAAGGTGCCTCTCAGGCTTTCTTACTATCTCCCGCCGCCAGCGTATTTCCCAGGTTCCCAGCGCGCATCGCGGCGCACGCAGTTTCATTTCATTCCTTATCTCTGCGTTCGGGAGGGCGCCGGGTTTCTTCGGGCCCTCGCCGGCAGCAGCTATTTTCAAAGGGCCCTTGCCACGGGGCGCTCGCATGGCCGGAGGCGCACGAACGCCCTCCAGGCGCTCAAGGTCAGATTCGCCCAAAGGGTAAGCAACGACCTCCGGTGCCAAAGACCCCTCCGCCATACTCTTGTAAATCACCGTTATCCACCTTTCGTTCGTAATCTCCTTCCAAAATCAGCCTAGCACTGCGAACTGTCTCGCCCGCCTCGCTCAAAAATCGACGTCAGGCTTGGCGCCCCCATGAAAGTGCAGCGTGCCGCCCAAGTGCGTCGCCTCCCCCCTGGCCTCTCCCATCGCCCCGTTCTCGCCCCGGCGCAGTCGCCCCGTTCCGTTCCGCGCCCCCCCCCCTCCAACTGAACCAGCGATGCTTGCTCGTCACCGTTCAGCGCAACACCTATGCTTGCCAGCTCCTCGCTGAGTGAGTCGCGCTGCGCCCGCGCCCGGAGGCGGCCGCGCGTGGCGCCCGCCACTGCAGACGCCCATGCGATGTCGCCCGAGAAACTCGTAAGCGAAATGTCCACGTGCTGTCTAGACTGCTGGTTCAAGTAACGCTCTGCCGTCAGTGCTGTCTGTCAGACAGCGCCGAAGCCATCGAACTTGCACGTGGGTGCTTTGTGCGTCCGATTCGCGAAACACGTCGAGCGGCCGATTGTGCGCTCCCAAGAACCACAAACACGAAATCGCATAACCTGGCAATGTCCCCTGCCTGATGCTCACGACAATCTTCCGCCCGCAAAATTGATCGACGCTTGGGCGAACCTGAGTTCCTGCATGAACAACTCCGCGCCGAACTCATCACGGCGCCAGTCTACATACGCACGCGAGTTTCGTGCAACGCACCGTGACAAGCATCGGCGGCATCGCGCGCTGTGGTGAGCCTGCTGAGTCTACGACCGTGCGAACGTGAGGCGCGTGCGCTCTGGGCGAGGACGGCTTCCTCTTCCTCCTACCATTCAAATATCAGAACGAGTGCGTGCGACCAGCTGCGTTCGTAAGCGTTGGGCGCCTGTGCCGCAACGTGCTGCAATGCACTTTGCCTGGGGCATCGGGCGAATGCACTAGCCTCTGGCCTCTGCGCTCGCTCTTGCCGTTCAGCTTGTCGAAAGAAAAGGCCTGGCTCTGCTGCCGCTGCAAGGCCCCCCCCCCGGCGGCGTATTGTCGCGCAAATCCGGATGAAACGTCTGTCCACGCTCGGAAAGTGCTGGCCGCTATAATAATCCCCCCCCGCCTGCGCGTCAGGCTTCGAATCTCGAAGCTCACTGGGCCTCGTCAACCGACGCCACGCTCCGCCAGGAAAGCTCCAGTCGGGTGGCGCGAGACGCAGCCTGGCTCGCTTCATGCGGCCACGGACGTCGACGAAATCGCATGTGCCTTGCTGGGCGGTCTGCGCTGCGAGGTCCATCTTAGGACCTCGCTCTTGCCTGCGCTGACCCCCCCTGCGCAGGGGGCCCGGCTGAGAATCCCCCCTGCAGCATGGTCGCTATCGGGCTCAAAGGGGGGCTCTCCACGCCTGGCGCTCGAGGGGCAGCCTCGAGATCTTCCAGCGCAATGCCGCGTCGCCGCTTCTCTTGGCACCCTCGAGCTCGCTCGCGCGCGGCCCCGTCTGCCTGGGCCTGTCGCGCCGAAGGTTCGCTCGGACTTTCTCGCCCCTCTCTCGGACACTCAGGAACTGCACTCGCGAAGCATGCGCGCGGCTCGCGCGCGTCGTTCCAAGCCCGCGAAACCGCGCAAACGATGCCAAAACAACGCCCCGGCAAACATTCGCGCGCCCCCCTCCCGCCCCAGCGGGCCTCCCGACCCAGCTCGCCCACGGGGGGCGGGGGAAGGGGGGCGGGCAGCGGCGCGGCGCCCAACTGTCTGAGACCGCGTCTGCACTCCTGTCTCGTCTCCAGCGCTTGCTTCGCGTCGGCCGGGCGGGACTGCAGCTTCGGCTTTCTGCCGAAAGCCTCCATGGCATGCTCTCGCGCCACTTCGCGCGCTCTTTGAAGCGCAGTGCCTACGTCTTTGGCATCGTGATCCTGCGCGCTGGGCGCCGCGGCTTCCAGGGGCTCGTCTACCTTCTACAACGACTCGAGGGACCCTTGCCTGAAGCGCATGCGCCTGGAAATCTCATCGCGACCCCGTGCAGCGGCGGCCTGAGGCTTCAGTTCGAAGCTCGGGCCGGCTCGGAAACGGACCACCAAGGGAAGTAATCTCTTCTAGCACGCGCACTAATACTCTGCAACTGATCCCCCGCCCCCCCCCCGCACGCGCCTCGCGCGCTTCAACATGCGCGCGTGCACTTCAGGGCGCGCGCGCGTAGTCGATCCGTGCAGCGCGATCTCCTGAGACGCGGTAAAAGGTCGACCCCGCGCAACAACTCGAATACAACGCGCAGAGATGGTGGTGCTGAAGGAACTCTCGAAAGCACCTGCCGTTGTAATTCTCTTCGTGGAACTCTTCTCTGCCTACGCGCGGCGCCGACTCGACCGATCCTGCACGAACGATGGCATCCATCATGAGCACAGGGACGGCACGTGCTGGCAATTTGCCGATCAGCTGCGAGAGGCCATGCCGAAAATGCTAAGATTTCGTTTCGTGCAACCGTCTGTCGTTCTGGGATCCATGGGAGTCGGTGTGCGCATGCCCTACCACGAAGGTGAAATCCACGTTTTTGCCCTTAGATCTGACTGCTCCGATGCGTGGCTCCGTACACTGCGTGCCTTGAAGACCGACTGCCGTGCATGATCGGAGTTCCTGCATGATATCACTCCACCGTCCTTCTTGGCGCAGCGAGAGAACATTGCAACTGCACGCCTCAAGTCGCTGCATCGCGGGCGGGCCGCCCGAGCATGAACAACCTGGGGGGGTGTCAGAAGCGCGGCTGCGGCGCCTCGGGGGCAGCTGGCTGCCCCCACATGCAAGTTCCCTCGGGCCGTGGGAGCTGACAATTAGAGGAGGAGGAGGAGGAGGAGGAGGAAGAGGAGGAGGAGGAGGAGGAGAAGGAGGAGGAAAAGACGGAGGAGAAGGAACAAGATGCGAGGGGGAGGAGGAGGATAACAAGGAGGACAAGGAAGAGGAGGAAGAACAAGAGGAATCAGAATCGGGATCGGCGCCAGAAACGAAGAAAAAGAGGAGGAGGACTCGAAGCAATCTGTGTATATGCGCGTAAATGCATATGTGTTTCATCCCCTCCTCCTCTCCTCGACTGCTGTTTGTTCCAATCTGCTCCTCCCCACAGCCTGCGAACCATCGCCAGGCTCACTAGTTTGATCCCCCCCAGGGCCGACCGACCATGGGGGGGGGGATGGCCAAAGGCATGCACACAAAACAGCTCTCCATGCATTTCATTTTTGTCATGCGCACGCTTCGCTGTCTGGGCAGGAAAACCTGGACCCTACTCACGACGAGTGTGCTGCAGACTGGGACACTCAAAAAACCTGTGAAACAAGGTCCACGGGAGACAAGGAGAAGACATCGATTGTGCACACCCTTTTGATGACTGAAGAGCCTTGCCTGCGGCCACTGGCTGCCTCCTACGAAGCTGCGAAGAATGGCCTGAGGGTGATGGTTCCAGGTCTCGCTCGTCGCTCTACCTACCATCCACGCAAGAGGGTTCCAATGCAACTGATTGACCCAGGAACCTGGGATGCGCTTGAGCGTGCAGCCCGAGGGCGAGGAGCACGAGGAGGACGATGACAAGGAGGACGGGAGGACGAGGACACGGAGAACGAGGAAGACGAGGAGGACGAGGAAGACGAGGAGGACGAAAAGGACGACGACAAGGAGGACGAGGAGGACGAGGAACCGCGAACAACTTCGAGTCCTTCGTGGCGGCCCTTTGTTGGGGGTTGCTAGAGGAGCCACTGGCCCAAAGTGCCGCCAGCTTTTCGCTCCATTTCGGGGCCCCTGGGGCCCCCTAGGCCTCGCGAGGGGTGCTCTGGGGGCCGTGGGGGCCTCCTTGGAGATCCTGGGGGCACCCTGGGCCAGGGGCACTTCTAGCGACACCCGACTTGGTTGGCCCCCCCCCCCTCCCCGCGCGGGCGTGGCAGGCCTGCTGCATCCCCCCGCCGCGGAGGGAGGCTCCCCCACGGCCGTGGGCGCCCGCCGGGAGCCGCCGCCGCGAGCCCTCCAGCAGTCGCGGGGGGTCGGCCGCGTGCGAGAGTTTTTAAGACCGAGCCATCGAGGAGGGGAAAGTCAAGTCGTGACGGCCGAGAGGCAAGCCCGCAGCGCATGGTCCGTCTTTGGCAAATTGACGCCGGCTTCGGCCACACGAGAATGACCCTGGGCAAGGGTGGCCGTTGATGCGCGCCTTTCGGGGGGCGCGGGGGCGCCAAACCCGAGCGCGGAAACCGCTACCATCGCAGCGCGTTCAGCCATCTGGGGGTCCCACTGTGCCCGCACCAAATGTCATTTCGGCGAATGGTCACTCTTACATGTAGCTGAAGAGTCGCGGGGGGATGGTGATGAGGTTTGAGGTTGTTCGGGCTCGAGGGTTGAGGTTTTCGCACGTCTTCGTTCGTCCTCGGCGGTTTTACGCCTCGAGGTGCTTTTCAGCACCTGCGCCTCGTCGAAAGCTTTCTGAGGGCCCTTGGATCGTCCCGAACGGCCGGTGGAGGCCCGAGCCATGACCCAGAAACCACGCGCTTCCCGGCTCGCGCGCGCCGTCCTCGCTGCAATTTCTTCACAGCGGCCGTGTTCGCCCGGCTTCGGGCTGCCCCAGGGCCATCACACATCGATGCGGCTCGGGGATGTCGCAGGGGGATGCGGTCCAGGGCTCCCATGGCGATTTTTGTCTGACCTCAGGGGGCGCCGGCACGAGGAGGGGGGCGAGGGCGGCGGGAGGGAAGGAGGAGGAAGGAGGGAGGAGGGAAGAGGAACGAGGGAGGAGGGAGGGAGGGAGGAGGGAGGAGGGAGGAGGGAGGAGGGAGGAGGTAGGTAGGTAGGTAGGTGGTGCTCCCATGGAGCTGGTGCGGGAGCTTCGGACGCGACTCCCTTTTAGCATGGCACCACGGCCCCGGGGGCAGGCTCGGAAGTGTCCGTGCAGCGACGGCCCTGGAGGTCAATCCACCAGCACTGGAGGGGGCGAGACGGGATCTGTCGAAGCTTTCCGCCCAGAGAGACAGGGGACACAGGGCCCCAGAGAGCCCGCCCCCAAGAGAAAAGGGCGAACCAAAAAACCAAGCCGAGGAGACCGCAACGACAGAATCACAATCTCCATCCCCTACCAGGTGTGGGGTGAGAGAGACAACTCAGGGGCTCCCCGCAGGGCAGGGGGGGGCCAGGCAGGGAGCTCCTGCCCAGGGCTCGTCCGATCCCTCCTGCCCTGCCTGGTCGACGCACGGCGCAGGTGCGGGACGGCGACAGGAAGGGGGAGAGGAAGCCACCCCAAAGGAGAGGAGGAGAAAAACAGAAAGTGGGAGGGCCCTGCACGACCCGACCCTCCCACCTGGCACCAGGCAGGAGGTAGGGAGGGCGGGTGTAGCTCTTCCCTGCGGCCGCCCAAAAGCGATCCGTCTCCCTGTCGACAAAGAGCGCCAGCAGGGCCGCCTGCGCATACCCTGCATCCGTCGGGCCTGCAGAGAGGGTCGCTGCAGCCGCCGCCTCCGCTGAGGAGGGGGCTGGGCCTCCACGGGCCTCCCAGAAGGTGCGACGGGGGAGCTCCGTGCGAGAGCACAGCCCGAGGGCGTGGAACGTGGGGCTCAGGGTCTGCATGCCACACATTACGCAGGACTGCCTCCGCGCCGTAGAGACATTGCCAGAACAGTGGCTGAAGGCCACAAGCCGCCCTCGTAGTCTGCTCAGCGAACGCTGACCCAATAGCACATCAAATGGCAGTTCTTGTTTCAGAGCCCGCGCAAGATCCTGCCTGGGGACCGGCCCAAATCTGAGGACCGGGAGCGGCCTCGTTTGGAGGCTCAGCGTCTGCCTCAGCTCCGCCTCGCAGCGTTCAGCCAAGTGAGCTCGCACGAATGTTTTGTACTGGCGCAGGGACTGACCGCTGCGCGCGGCCTCCCATGCAGGCCAATCAGGAATGGGCCAGTGCTCGAGTAGAGCGAGCGACCGCTGTGCCCAGGATCGCCCCCCCGCGCCGTGAGCTCGCAGGAAAATGCGCCTGTATAAATCATCTTCTTGAAGCCTCCAGAGGCCAGCGCGCCTGGTTGCGACCTCGCACACGGCCCTGGCTGGCCCAGAGAGCGACCATCCCAATTCCGAGAGAGCCAAGCCTGGACGACGCCAGGGCGGGGCGCCCAGGAGAGCGCGCGCCCAGGCACTGTAGTTTTGTTGCAGTTTGCCCGGCGCCCCCTCAGCCACCGCCCAGAGCCACCGGCCGAATCGGAGCGCACCTTCGACCTGGGACTCGAAGATGTGGGCTGCGACGGCGAGCGGCGCGACCCCCGCGGTGACGTGCCCTACCAGAGATGCACACTGCGCAGACGCCGCGCCCAGCTGGGCGTCCATGATCCGTTCGAGGTCGAGGTCTCCTGGCCACATCAGTCCGAGCCACTGGTGTGCGCTTTTGAAACCCAGCCTGACAGGAGTTCCTCCCTTGAGGGGCAGGGTGAGGGGCACGGCGGCTGCCCCCGCCCTCCTGGCAGAAGGTGATCCATGGACAACCACTGCGTGTTTGGAGGGCTTTGTGGGAGGAGAGGCCTTGTAGGTGAAGGCCCATTCCGCTAGCGTGTTCTGCGCGATTTGCGCTCCTCCCCTGGTGGGGGACAGCAGGACAGGATCATCGGCATGCAGGACTGCCGCCAGGCGCAGCGGCGCGGCGGCGTCCAGCGCCGCCAGTGCGGAGGCTTCATGTGTCAGGTCGCTGGCGAGGTCGGCGGCCGCGGGTAACTGCGAATCCCCCCGTAAAGCGCAAGTCAGCGCACGCGTGGTCTCAGGATCTGGCGCGCCCGCCCCCTGCCACTGGTGCCCCGCCCAGAGACGCGGCACGTGAACACCGACCCCCACGCCGCAGCCCGCGCGGTGCAACGCCTCTGTTAGGGAATCCATGTACACGGGAAAAGTGAGCGGCCCCACCGTCCCCCCTTCCGCAATCCCCTGGAGTATAACCACTGTGGCCACCCCATTGTAGTTCACATGGATGGTGTCCGAAGCGAGCATACTTCCCAAGAGCGACAGCATACCGTCACGCACGCCGGCCGTTTCGTGCAGTCTCAGAAGAAGCGCCTCCCTCCAGGTCCGCGGGAAGGCCTTCTGGAGGTCTCCGAAAACTGCCCACAACGGCCGCCCAGAGTGCGCAGCCTCTGATGCAAGCTCGTGTAAAACGAGGTGGGCGTCGCCGACATCGCGGCAATACCCGCTTTGACCTGGAAAGATGGACGCACGTCGCTGAAAGACCAGCCTTCCTTGGACGAGCATTTCCTGCAGCAAGCCCATCTGCGACTTCACCATGATGAGCCGGAACGACTCTCCGACGTCCAGCGGCCCATCCTTGTGCAAGGGGACTGCGCAGCTGCCCCGCCAGGCAGCTGGCCGCACAGCTAGGCACCCTGGACCCGTCAGGCGCATGGCCAGCCAGACAGCGGTCAGGAGATGCTGGTCGCCTAACTGGAAGGCCCTGCGCGGCACAAGGTCAGGCGTCGTGGCGGATGTGCTGCCCATAGAGGCTAGGGCGGCCTCGATTTCGACCTGCTCAACCGGCGAATCGTGAGGCCCACTGGCACGGTTGGCCCGCGCCCGCCCCAACACCACCCGCAGCGACCCCGATACGTGGGCGTGGAAGGTTGTATCCCAGGGGCCAGGCCACCGCGACTGTTCCTCCAACTGCTGGCACCACGCCTCTCGCGAGGCCGCCATGGTCAAGAGCTCGCCTGTTTTCCCTCGCAGAAGAGGAGCAGGCCGGGGTTCCCGCGGGCGGAGGAGCCGCATGCACTTTACAGCACGCTCCTGTGCGGTCCCTGGCCCCTCAATGGCTGACCGTACCCTGCCTCGCAGTTCAGGAGCCTCTGTGCGGCTCGGGGAAGGAGGGGAATTTTTCGGGACCACCCAACCTGCCAGTACCAGCCCCAAAACGAGGTGCAGCAGCCACGCAGCGGCATCCCCTAACCACTGAGCCGCGCGCGCGCCCAGCGTTCTCGAGCTGGCGGCTGCCTCCCCGTCGCCACAACAATGCCGCAGGATGTCCGCATACGCTTGCAGGACTTGGCGGGCCTCTGTGAGCCCGTCGGCCCAGGAGTCCGCGTTGTTCCACCAGCGCGGCATGCGGATGGCTCCCTGCCCGAGGGACGCAAGCGGGAGCCGAAATGGGATGGTAAAGTCGATCAAGAAATGGTCCCCGCACGTGTACTCAATGCAATATTCCCAACTGCAGCCGCCGACACCCCTGCAAGACAGACCATTGTGCACCCGTGCGACGCCGTGGGCAGCTCGAGAAACAACGACGACGTCAATGCAGCGTGCCGCGCCCCCCCCCCCATGGTGGGTGTCGCCAGGGCGGAGGGCGAGGCTGCGGCCCCGGAGGGGGAGGCTCACGTGGGCTGCCGGGCCCTGCCCCGACGAGGGGTTTAGGAGGGACAGCCCCCACGTCGTGACCAGACGTGACCAGCGGCGCGCACGAGCCCTCGAGGGCTCTCGCGCTCCGAATAACTCGTCTGGTTGCATGTTGATGTCCCCCATGACGATCACGCGGGCGCCGACTCCCAGCGGGGCCAGGCCTTGGAGCTTCTCCACGTCCGCGTGCAGCCCTTCCATCTCGAGGAATCAGTCCTTGTCAGGCCCCGCTTTTGGGACTGGGGGAAGATAAATTGTACATATGAACCACTCCTGGCCCTGCGCATCCTCTGCTCGCAGCCAGAGGCGGCGACAGGAGCCCACCGCCGCGATCGTGCTCGCGGACGGGAGTCGAACTCTGTCCCAAATCACTGCAACACTGGCGTACGAGGGACCTCCTCTCGCCGCGATGCCGATGTCCGCGTGCCCTGGAATAGTGACTCCCTCGGCCAGGCGGGCCCCAGGCAACCCCAACACAACAAGGTCGAGCTTGCGGAGCGTGGCCAAGATGCCCACCGTGCTGTCAGTAAACACTTTCCACCGCACCCTGGCACCATCAATGGACAAGCACCCCAGAGTGCTCGGAGAGCCTTCAATGGACTGGCACCATCAATGGACTGGCTCCTC